TTATATATATATATAGAAAAGAAAATATAATCCTTTGTCATTGCAACTTTTCTGCTACTAGAGAATCTTCATATCAAGGTTTAAGATACCCTTTCAAGTGTTTTTCTAGAATTGCTCATTTCCTTTCGATTGTGCTTAGTTGCCCTTTTTTGTAAATTTTCTGAATTCTTTTTTTTTGGTACCAGGGATTGAACTCGGGTCCTTGCACTTGCAAGGCAGGCCACCGAACCGCTGAGCTAAATCACCAGACCCCTATTTTCTGAATTCTTATAAACCCAGAACTGTTTCTAATTTTTTCTTCTCACTTTATTTGTGGTTGGGTGGCTCTGGAGTCTAGGCTCAAAATAATCTTTATTTAGAAATTAGAGCCCCTTCTCTCTAGTATTCTAAAATACAGTTCATTGGTGGTAATTTGATGTAGACTTGTTCTATTTTTTTAGGAAACTTGTTTTTCCTGTTGGATGTTTTTAGATTGTTCTTTTTATAATTTTAGAGTTCAGAAATTTCTCTAGGCTGTGTTCAGGTTTGGTTATTTTTCATTAGTTTGGTTTTCGGTAAGCTCTTTCTATCTGAAGACTTCTGTAATTCTCCAACTTCACTTTTTTTTTGTCTTTTTAGTTCTATATTCAGCTGGACTTCCATATCTTTATATATCCCTTTTTTCTTCTTTATAGTTTTCTTTTTTGCTCCTGTTCCTGGGGTATTTCCTCAATTTTATTTTATTTATCTCTAACCCAGTCTTCAGATGTGGTTTTTCAGTCTTCAGTCCATCTGTGGTTTTTTAATTTTCAATGCTTTTCATTCCAGACACTCTTGGGAGTTTCCACGTTTCTTAGTCACTTTCTTTTTCTCTAGGACACTGTGCCTGACACCCACAATTTAGAAGAGGAGAGGTTTATTTTGGCTCACATTTTGTAGAGGTTTCAGTCCATAGTCACCTGGCTTCAGGGCAGAAGTAGCATGGTAGAAGGGCCTGGCGAAGAAAAGCTGCTCCCCTCCTGAGATCCCTGAAGCAGAGTCAGGGGAAGAGCTGGAAGGGAAATACCGTCTTCTGGGTCACACCCATGGTGACCGCATCTTTCAGCCAGACCCAACCTGCTAATAGCAAATCAGCTATAATGTCCTTGTAATGCAGTCACCTTCCAAAGGTTTGTGCCTGTGACCCCATCAGGATTTTGGGGGGCATCTTGATATAAATCATCACAGTTGTCATGCTTGTTGTGAGATCTGTTATAAATGTATCTTCTGTATCTCCCAGTTTATCCAGTTTCTGTGCTAAAAACCTTCTCCAGGCACATGTCGTACTTTCCACAGATCAGGATCTGATGGCAGGATCTGTCATTAGTGCTTGTACCTAGAGTACAGATATGCACTCTGTCTTCCTTGGCTCATTTCTGCTTTTCTGTTTATGTCTTTTAAAATAAATTCTATTTGGAGCTTTTCATGTATATTTCCCTGAGAAGATCTAACTTACTTTTGATTTCTGGGATTTATATAACATATATATTAATAATATTTATTTCTGATTTTTTTTTGCTTATCCAGTATGGTCTTTTGTTTGAATTTCTCAAAATTTGTGGTCTACTGATAGCATACTTTCTAATCTTTCAATTTTATTTACTTTTTTCAATTTTTATTTATTTTTGGTACTGGGGATCGAACTCGAGACCTTGCGCTTGTGAGGAAGGTGGTGGAACCACTTCAATTTTTATTTTTATTGGTACATGTATGTAGTACCTAATGATCATGTTCCTTCTGGGGAGTTGGTACATGTACATAACATATCTCATTTCTTTTCTCATCCCATTTCCTACTCTTTCTGTCTTCCCTTCATCTCTTGCCTTGCTATTTCCTAAAGATCTATTGCCCTACTTCCTGTTAACTATTTTTTATTTGGTGCATATAATTTTGGGTTTCTTGCAAGGGAAACCTTCAGTATTTAAGATTGTGTATCTGATTTATTTCACGTAACATTATGGTCTCAAGGTGCATCGATTTTCCTACAAATGACACAAGCTTATCCCTCTTAATGGTAGAGTAATACCCTACCACATAAATATAAATTCCACATTTTCTTTACCCATTCATCTACTGATAGACGTACAGGCTGCTTTCAAGAGTTAGCTCTCATGAATTTTGCTACTGTAAACATAGGTGTGCATGTGTCATTGTAGTATGGTGTCTGTGACTCTTTTGGGAAGATACACATCAGGGAAATAGCTGGGTTGAGTGGAATTTCTAATTTTAGTTTTTTGAGGAATCTCTATTCTTACTTCTATAGTGGTTGCACTAGTTTACATTCCCACCAGCAATGTAGAAGGTTTCCTTTTCCACCTTTTCCACCCTCACTAGCATTTGTTGTTACCTGCTTTCTTGATGATGAGTCTTTGTGGAGTAAGGTGGTATCTTGTTGTTTTAATTTGCATTTCTCTAATGGTCAGAGATGTTGAACATTTAAGAAAATGTATTTATTGGCCATTTTGTGCTTCTTTTTCTGAGAAATGTCTGTTCATTTCAATTGCCCATTTTTTGATTGGGTCTTTTATTTTAGGGAGGTCTAATTTTTTTGATTATTTGTATATTCTAGATATTTATTTTCTGAGCAATAACTGACAAAAAAATATTTTCCCAGTCTGCAGCATGTCTTTTCACTTTGTTGGTTGGTTGTTTCCTTTATGGTGCAGAAGCTTTTTTTTGAGGGGGTACCAGGGATTGAACTCGGGTCCTTGCGCTTGGAAGGCAGGCCACCGAACCAGTGAGCTAAATCCCTGGCCCGGTGCAGAAGCTTTTTAATTAGATAGGATCCCATTTATTGATTCGTAATGTCATTTCTTGTGGTGTTGTTTATTTTTTTTTTTTTTTTTTTGGTACTGGAGATCAAACTCAGGACCTTGTGCTTGTGAGGCAGGCAGCAGAACCACTGAGCAAAATTTCCGGCATTGTGGTGTGTTTCTTGATGTGTTTCTTGTGTTGGTTCTGTTCAGAAAGTCCTTGCATACATCTGTGTCTCCAAGAATTTTACCCATTTTATCTTCTAGGAGATTAAATGTTTCTGTTTTAGCATTTGGATCTTTGATCCATTTTGATTTTACTTTAGTACATAGTGGAATATATGGGTCTAGATTAGATCTTCTACATGTGCACAGCCAGTATTGCAAGCATCACTTATTAAATAAAGAAGCTATACTGTGACACTGAACTTAACTGCGTTCATGAACTTGTTCCAAAGTTCTGGGGAAAATGGCCATGCTTGTGTTTGTGCAAAAAAGGTGGCCTCAGTCTTGTTGGTTACCCATTGCTGAGTCCGCAAACAAAAACAAAATTTTGCCAAATGTTTCTATTTATGAACCAGATTGCGAGCAAAAGTGTTCGAGAACCAAAATACCACTATATTTCCTCCTGTGCTTTTGGCCTCTTTGTCAAAGATCAGATAGCTGAATGTGCCTTGGGTTGTTTCTGCATCCTTTAGTCTGTTTTTCTGTTCCATTGATCCACATGTCTGGTTTTCTCCAATACCATTCTGTTTTTAACAGTGTAGTTTTGTAATATAACTTTGTATGTGAGATTCTGGTGGAGCCACTGAGCTACATTTCTAGCCCTGCTTTTGTTACACAGGATTGCTTTTGCTCTTTGAGGAGTCTTCTGGTTCCATGTGAATTTTCTTTTATTTAAAACATTTTTTGAGGGGAGTTTTAGACAGGGTCTTGCTATGTAGTTCAGGCTGTCCTCGAGCTCACTGTGTAGCCCAGGCTGGCCTCAAACTCACAGCGATCCTCCTGTGTCAGCCTCTCAAGTGCTTGGATTATAGGCGTGTGTCCTCTCCCCTGGCTTCCATATGAATGTTAGGGTTATTTCTCTATATATTCTGTGAGAAATGCTGTTGGTATTTTGCTTGGGATTGCATTAAACCTCTCTATCAGTTTGGAAGTATGCCCATTTTGACAAAACTAGTTCTGCCTGTCCAGGAACAGGGGATATTTTTCCATTTTTTTTTTTTGTTTTGGCTTCTTTTTGAGATAGGGTCTCACTATAGAGACTGACCTGGAACTCACTATGTAGCTCAGGCTGGTCTTGAACTCACAGCGATCCTCCTGCCTCAGCCTCCTCAGTGCTGGGATTACAGGCATGTGCCACCACGCCTGGCTATTTTTCCATTTTCTGATGTCCTCTTCCATCTCCTTTTTCAAGGTATTGTATTTTTCAGCATTGCAGAGGTCTTTCAGTTCCTTGATTAAGTTAAATATTAAGTATTTAATATTTTTTAATGCTATTGTGAATAGTATTATCTGTTTGCAACCTTTTCATGGACTCTTAATTCTTTCCTAAGATGGTCAGATGGTCATTCATGTTTTGTATAGTTTTGTTTAGCTTAGCTAGCTTTTTATTAGTGTCTTCTGTAAACTTGATGAATTTTTTTTTTTTTTTTTTTGGTACCAGGGATCTAACTTGGGTCCTTGAGCTTGTGAGGCAGGCGGCAGAACCACTGAGCTAAATCCCTGGCCTTTGATGATTATTTTAATAAGCCCATTTCCTGTTTCTTCTTTGAGCTTGCTGAGTACTTCATTGGTCCTTTTTTTTTGGTACCGGGGATCGAACTTGGAACCTTGTGCTTTTGAGGCAGGCAGTAGAACCACTGAGCTAAATCCCTGGCCCCATTGGTCCTTTTTTTTTATTCCTTCTGTTAGCTTTTTGAATAATTTGGCTGTGTGTGTTTTGATTTCTTCCTCCTTGATACCTCATGTATCAGCTTTGGGGGACTTGGCAGTTGTTGGAAACATTTTGGTGTTATGTCCTCTTATGTTTCTATTGTGTTTGTTTTTTTGTGTGAGGTCTGTTCCTTGATTATAGTGAAAGACTGCCACTAGTATGGAGACCTCTTTAGTGTCTGCTTTTTAGTGATGCACTCTGGGCATGGCTAACTATGAGCCTTTCTTCTGTCCCAAGATCCTATCACCTCATTCTATTTGGGAGCATAGGTAACAGAGGATTTGGCCCATCACCCAATTTAGGAATAGGTAGCAGTATTATTAATTACAAAAGGAAATCCAGATATTAGTCTACAGAAAAAGCCCATAATAGCAACAACTATGCCACCTTGGCAGTAGCAATACAAGCAGCAATACTAAGTGTTCAATACACATTGGATATTGACACAACCTGTAAATCAGTATTATAACACCTTTAATTATAGAAAAGAGATCTATAATTATAGTGTACTAAAAGAAATAAAAAAATTGATATATAGCCAGGCATGGTAGTGCATGCCTATAAATCCCTGCCCTTAAGAGGCTGAAGCAAGAGGATCACTGTGAGATTGAGGCCAGCCTGGGTTACATAGTGAGTTCAAGGCTAATCGGAACTACATAGGAAGACCCTGTCTCAAAAAATGAAGCAAAACAAAACAGAAAAATTGACATACAGTAAATAGCTACTAAAGGCAACTATACCTCCACTAACAATAGAACTGTATACAATAGTAATACCATAGGGTTACCTATGTAAATATTCATAAAACTTAATGGTTATATTAGTAATGACAAAGAGGGTGGGAACTGGAGAGTGAAAAAAGTAGAATTTGAAAAATTAATCAATGGAAAATGAAAAGCAAATGAGAAAAATGAGGTAAAGGCTCCTATTCAAGAGTAAAAGAAAGCTAGTGACATAAATGTAACAAAAGAACAAACAAGAGAAAGAAAACAGCAAAACAAAGAAAAAAAGAAGGAAAAAGGAATTAAAAGGAGAAAAGAAAAGAAAGAAAAACAAGAAAAAGACAAAAAGGAGAAAAAGACCCCTCCAACCTTAAAAACCAATGATGGAAAAAGAAAGAAAAAATTTAAGTAAAAAAAAATTCTCCTGTATTTTTGAATGAGTGGTTTTTTTCTAGAATCTGCAGTCTTGGAACCCAGCAAGTCATGCTTTTCTCTACCTAGCTTTACAGTTTGTGAGCTCATGAAGTGCCCCCTTGCTTCAGAGGGCCCTCTGTCTGTACACTGCAGGCAGTGGCAACTGTCCTAGCCGAGTTGTGTGCTTGCTCACTTGGTAGGTGGGGAAGGCACTCAGAGCATTGGTTGGTTGGTTGGGTGTAGGCGGCAGGGGGCTGGGTGTTCAAACAGACTATTGGATCTGATACCAGCAATTTAGATCCAGGCACCTCTCAGGCCTGGTTTCTTACCACAGAGGCTGGGTCAGTGTCCTCCACCTGACCTAAATTTCTTGTGTGTCTGTGCAGCCTGCACCTTCTTCACAGCTGTCCTCTGTGGCTCTGTCTCACCCAGTCACTGTCAAAGGTAACACTGGAAACCTTGGTTGTAGTTGTTCTGTGGCTTACTCTTGACCCCTCTGGCCTCCCTTAGCCTTAAACCCTCTCTGGTAATATGGCAGTATTGCACTGTGTTTTCTTCAACTCGTGCCTCTCATGAAGGGGAGTCACTTTTGGAATAAAACACCAAGCTGTTTTTGTAGTTTATAACTGCCATGGACTTCTCTTGGGACCAGTGCCCTGAAGGCCAGATCCATTATTTCTCCCTTGAGCTGCTGATTCCCTGCGGCTTACCTTCTGTCTCAGGGAGATGGCCTTGTCCATCATCAGGATGGTCAGTTGGCTGGTGCCTCTGCTAACTGGTGCCAAGGGGAAACCAAACACAGAATGGCCTTGAAGTTGGTGTCTGGTTGCAGCCAGGCCACAAAATCCACAGTCTTGGAGTTAGTCACCAGGGCTTTATTTCTTTATTTATTTTTTAAATGATACCTTTTCTTTCATTTCACTGGCATCATGGGAGGAAGGAGAAGTAGATTGGAGTACTCAACTGGTGAACTTCAATGTATATATCGTGGTGACACTTTAAACATAGAGAGAAAACAATAAATGGATGGGGATATATGTTGGTGGTAGAGCAGTTGCTAGCTAGCATGCATGAGGTCCTTAGTTTGCTTCTCAGCAATGTCCCACAAAAAAGAAAAAAAAAAAGAGGAAAACAATAACTATAAAGAGAAGATGCCTTTTCCCCCCTCTCCTCTCTATTTAGAACTAGTTAGGCTAGAGAAAGGTTCTTGTTTGTAGGGATTAGGTTTATAGATTATTTAAAAATCAGGTATGCAGTTCTATTTAGGATTTTAAAGTTGTGTAGACACCTTGTTTTAAACATCATTTTAGGGCTGGGGATTTAGCTCAGTGCTGCCGATGCCTGCCTTGCAAGTGCAAGGTCTTGAGTTTGATCCCTGGTACAAAAAAAAACCCAAACCAAAACAAGACAACAACAAAAAAACAGATTTCTAAACATCATTTTAAATGTTTGATTATTTTATTGCTTAGAAATATATGCTTTCCTCTTTTCTAGAAATAATCTACCAGAAAGATATAACCATATGTCTTTTGTTTTCCTTTAAATTCTTGTGATACATTTCTTTTTTCCAATAGTGCACTTTTCCCAACACTGGTGCTCGTATCATGATGTTCATTGGCGGCCCTGCCACCCAGGGACCTGGCATGGTGGTTGGAGATGAACTGAAGATACCTATAAGATCATGGCATGACATTGAAAAGGACAGTACCAAATACGTAAAAAAGGGAACTAAGGTAATTTTAATTTTTCAACCCTTTTACCATACTGGAAAGCAGGTATTCATTTGTTTAAAGAAGAGTGTAAACTGTTTTTCTGCCCACTGATAATCATGAAGTATGGTACTATAATTGCTATTCAGTATTGGGGAAATATTTCTTTTTCAAGTTGTCAAACTTTTTTGGTTTGAAATATTTAAAAACTTAATTATTAGATTCCAATAGTTATATCTTTAAAGATTCCTCCAGAGAAACTTTCTGTGCCTTTTATTTATTTACTTTTTTGGTACCAGGGATTGAACTCAGGACCTTGTGCTTGCAAGGTAGGTGGCAGAATCACTGAGCTAAATCCCTGGCCCCGTGCCTTTTAAAATATTCACAAAATATCTCTCTCATCAGGAATAGTTTTTCTTGTTTTCTCATGAGGCATCCTCTACTGTTTCCCCTAGATGTATGCCTATTGTTCATAGTTTGAGCAGTCCATCATTTTCTTATAAGTTATTTTCTGTCATCTAACTACTTTTGGGGGGCTTGTGCAGTAAATTTCACTAATGATGTCTCTTTATATTGGTTCTGCTTAAAATGTTCCTGTTAAAAATACTCTTTTAAAGAGTTCACAATTTTAGCTTGGTTGTACTGTATTATAATTTTTAAAAATTAATTTTATTGGTACACTTTTGATATATATAATAATCACATTCATCATAGGGAGTTTGTACCTTTGCATAATATATCTTTTTTTTAAATGAGAAAATAGCTGTAGTTGCATTGATGCCTCATAATCATGATAAAACTGAAGCAAGATAATAACATTTAAGTGGTTAATATATATAGGAAAGCCACAGAGTATAATTTTCAAACACAGTATTGCTCCTTTTTCCCTCTCCTCCAATAAAAAGAAAAAAGAAAGAAAAAGTCATCTAGGGTAAAGAGCAAGATGAAATCAAAATTGGCAGCTCAATGAATGCTTAAAGTTCAGAAAATTGGTTCTGTAACTATGCATAATATATCTTGATTCTTCTTTTATTCCCATTCCACTCCCCTCCCTTCAATCTGTCTTCCCTTCTTTATTTACAAAAACTTTGTTTCCATTTTTTCCTTCTATTCTTTTTTTTCCTTTACCTTGTATTATAATTTTTCAGTAGTAGTTGTTTAAAAAAAAAAACTAGGCATGATGATGCATGCCTGTAATCACAGCTATTCAGGAGGCTGAGGCATGCCAGTGTGGGCAGCTTAGTGAGAACCTGTATAAAAATAAAAATAGCAAAAAAGGACTGGGGCTGTAGCTTAGGGATAGAGCAATTTTCTAACATGTATAAGTGCCTGGGTCCAGTCTCCAGTACCGCTAGAAAAAAAAGTAATTAATGACAGATAATTTTTGTCACAGTGAATATTTTTTTTCTTCTGGTTAATTTCCTCTTAATGCTTGGGATTTTTCTTGGTTAGAGCTACAAAACAGTGTTTTACATATGCTTATCTTAATGCTTTTGGCAGTGTCTGTTTTTGGATATTTTTGTTACTTAAATATGGACTTAGCCAGGAAAAGAGTTCTGTGTTGCTCTTCTGTGTTTATATTTGAAAAGCAAGATATTCACTGTGCTATTTAAATTTTCTGTCACTTAGAGGTTCATTCAGAAATAATGGCTTTTAAGTAAAAGTGTAGGAAAATGACACGTTTGTAGAAGTTACCGTATCTTTTTTTTTTGGTATTGATAGTGTAATTCAGGACCTTGTGCTTGTAAGGCAAGCGTGGTGCCACTGAGCTAAATCCTTGGCCTTCTTACTGTATCATTTTTATAAGACATAGCAAATTAAGAGCAAATCATATTTAAATTATGAATTACTTTTTAGTCTTAAATTAGATCTGATTTATGCAATGATTAAGCTTTTATTTTAATTTTTAAAATCTTTTATAGCATTTTGAAGCATTGGCGAATCGGGCTGCTACCACTGGCCATGTTATTGACATCTATGCCTGTGCATTAGATCAGACAGGTCTCCTGGAGATGAAATGCTGTCCCAACCTTACTGGGTACGTATTTAACTTTTTTACAGTTTTTGCAATTATAAACTAATAATGGCAGTTTACAAATACAAACCAATAATGACAATTTAGGTACAAAAATAACATCATCTTACCCTGTCAGGGGAATATCTGTTAGCAGTTTTGATGTTTCTTCTGTAAAATTCTCTTTAAATATTATTTCAGAATATTGAATTACAAAGGCAAAAGTTCTTATAAAGCTGATTTTGATATTCTGAAGCCATGGTTTCATTTTATTATTTAAGAGCATCTTTTTGTGTGTGTGGTTCTTGGGATTGAACCCAGGGCCTGCACATGCTAGGCCAATGGTCTGCCGCTCAGCTATACCCCCAGCCTGTTAGCAACGGTAGTTTTGATATGTGAATTCATACATCATAAAATTTACCTATTTAAAATGTTCAGTGTGATGGTGTGTAGTGTATTATTCTTTGCCTGAAAACCACTGAAATATAACTAAAACATTTTTATTAGCCTAGAGAGAAACTCTACCCATTAGTAGTAACTATTTCTCCCTTCCTCTTTCCCTTACTCTCTCAACCCTAGGCAACCTATAATACTTATTTTGGATTTTTTAAATAAATGGAGCAATACTATATTGACTTGTTTTACTCATCATGATGTTTTTAGGGTTCATCTTTAGGATGTACCATTACTTCATTTCTTTTATTGCTGAATAAAAAGTGAAACATGGGTTCAACTTATTATTTAATACTATTCCATTATATGGATACATCACATTTAATCCATTAACTAATGAACATTTCATTACCACTTTTTGGCTATTTTGAATAATGCTACTTTGAATATATGTGTAAGGTTTTATGTAGACATTATGTTTGTATTTTTCTTAGGTATATACCTAGAAATGGAGTTGTTGGGTCCTGTGATAATCTGTGCTTAACATTTTGAAGTAGAGCTGGGTATACTGGCAGGCACCTGTAATTCCAGCATTTGGGAGGCTGAGGCAGGAAGATCACCTAAGTTCAAGGCCAGCATGGGATACCTAGTGAATTCAAGGCCAGCCTAGAATATGTAGTGAGATTTTGTCTCAAAAAGCCAAAACAACCCAAGAAAGCTCCAAACTAAGCCAAAACAAACCAAAAGAAACAAAAAATCATTTTGAAGTACTTTGAAACTTTTTTTCCAAAGTTACTGCATCACTTTACATCCCCACTACCCAAGTGTGGGGATTCCGGTTCCCACACTCTTACCAACACTTGTTATTGTCTGTCTATTATAATAGCTATACTTGTAGGTATGAAGTAGTATTTTGTTGAGGATATGATTTGCTTTTCTCTGAAGACTAATGATGTTAAACATTTAAACAGTTTGTTAGCAGTATCTGTTTGCAGCCCATAATGATTACATTCATTTTGGGGAGTTGGTCATACTGGATACATATGGAGTCTTGCTAAGCTTTACTCCCCACTCTCCTCCCTGCCTTCCCTTCTTGAGAGCTGCCTTTTTTCCCACAAAGTCAATCCCTCTGTTTCTTCTCACCTCACTTTTATTTTTCTCTTTAAGTTTTTTTATAATCTGGGGTCCTCATATAAGAGAAAATATGTGATTTATAACCCTGTGTCTGATTTATTTCACTTAGCATTATGGTTTCAAGGTGGATCTATTTTCCTACAGATGATTCAAATTTATCCTTAAGGCTGAGGAGAACTCAAGTGTACTTCTTTTGAGAAGTGTCTAATAATTTCAGTTGCCTGTTTTTTGATTAGGTCTTTTATTTTGAGGGGGCTATCTTTTTTTTTTTTTGGTACTGGGGATTGAACTCAGGACCTTGTGCTTGCAAGGCAGGTGGTAGCACCACTGAACTACATCCCCGGCTCTTGAGTTCTTTATATATTTTAGATGTTAGTTCTCTGTCTGAGGAGTAGCAAAATTTTTTACTATTCTGTAGGTTGGTTTCCTTTGCTGTGTAGAAGCTTTTTAATTTGATATATCATTTGGTTCATGATATTACTACTTGTGCAGTTGGGCTCTGTTCAGAAAGTCTTTTCCTATGCCTGTGACTTTTAGAGTTTTATCTATTTCTAGGAGACTCAATGCTTCTGTTTTTGTATTTAGATCATTGATCCATTTTGATCTGATTTTAGTACAGGGTGAAAGATAAGGTACCTAGATTCTTTCTTTTGCTTTTTTTAAAAGAGGCTTTTTCTCCAGTGTATGTTTGTGACCCCTTTATCAAAACTCAGCCAAGTGTGCCTGGGGTTGTTCCTGCATCCAGAATTCTTTCTCACTGGTCAAAATGTCTATTTTTGTGCCAGTACCATGCTGTTTTTAGTACTGTAGCTTTGTAGTATAATTTGAAATCCAAAAATATAATGCCTATTGCTTTGCTCTTTTTGCTCAGGATTTCTTTGGCTCTTCTGGTTCTGAGCATTTGATATGTTGTTGATTATAGTGTAACATAAATTGTGATAGATGATATGTACGTAAATGTAGAAAAATCTGAATCTACAAACTATTAGAATTAATATGGGAACCTATCAAGGTTTCTGGATCTAAGTCAGTATACAAAGTACAACTAGATTTTTATAACAGAAAGCAAAATTTACAAGGATAAAATCTATAAAAGCACCTGAGATGACATTTTGCAACTTTTATTAGCATCCAAAGTAAAATTACTATGAATTACTCCACATCAACTTTTGTTCTTCTATTTTAATTTTTTTTTTCTTACCAGGGATTGAACTCAGGCCCTTGTGCTTGTGAGGCAGGCAATGGAACCACTGAGCCAATCCCCGGCCCTGCCTATTTTAATTTTTGTTTGTGTCCTTTTTTTCTGTGTATTGTACTGGGAACTTGACCCAAGGAATACTGAGCTACAGTAACCCTGACCCTTTTTATTTATTATTATTATTTTTTTACTTTAGAGAGAGGGTTTCTCTAAGTTGCCCAAATCAGCCTAAACTTGCTGTCCTAGCCTCCTGACTAGGAAGGATGATGGGTATGTGCTTCAGTGTCTGGCCTTTTATGTTGTTTTATTGTATCTTTTATTATTATTTAAAAAGTTCTTAAACATTAAAAAAGTATGAGCATTTTTGTGTAAATATTTATGTGTATATCCTTTTTATATAAACAGTGAAATACTCTACATGTCTTTTCCCACTTGTGTTTTTCACTTTATCCTGGAAATATGTCTGCAGCAGTCTTACCACTCCATTATGTGGATGTACCATACATATTTTATCCTCTAAGAGATGGTCATTTGGGATGTTTTCAATTTTTTTGTTATTACAAATAGTGCTTCATTGAATAACTTTATGCATTTATTTTGCTTTTTGTTTTTGTTTTTCCAGTGTGGAATCTTTGTGAGATAATATCTTTAGTAATTTGGGACATAGATTCCTGATAGTGAGGTGGCTGGATTGTAAAGAAAATGAGTGTGTAATTTTGATATTTTTAGTTTCCTCTGCAGTAGGGTTGCACTATTCATGCATTCCTCTAGCAACAGACGAGGGTGTCCGTTTTTCAGAGCTTTAGCAATGAAATGCATTGTGAAGCTGTGACTTGTGCTGATCTGTTAGAGACTAAATGATATCTCAGAATAGTTTTAATTTGGAAGTTAGTGGCTTTTAAAACATTTTTTTAAATTAAAAAGGCAAGTATATGCCTACTGAAAGAAATGTAGACATTGTATAAGTGCAGGAAGTCAAGATGTCCCTTAATACCCCTTTGTTCTCATGCACTGGATGTGACACACACATATACTGCCCACACATACACTTTTTTGGGAGGGGTTTGAGGCAGGGTTTTGCTACGAATTTCAGGCTGATCTTAAACTCACTATATAGCCTAAGCTGGTCTTGAGCTCACAGCAACCTTGCTGCCTCAGCCTCAGAGTACTAGATATACAGGTGTGGCCACCAGGTTTTTAAGAATGAAAATGACTACTGTAAAATGGGAGAATTGGGAGGCAGGAGCAGGAAACCAGGAGGCAGAAGCAGTAGAGACACATTTATCACCATATTGCCTTTTGTATCTTTTGAATTTTATGGTGTGTGGGTATATTAGTATCTAAGCAGAATTTAAAATTACCGAGACCAAATGCTAGTATTAGGGGCATTTATATGTCTTCAGAATTGAGATTATTTGTAAGATGAGGATATTTAAAAAAATTAATAATAATATATAATATTTTGGGAAATATGTATCTTAATATGTATTTAAAATTTGTATTTTAAGAGAAAAAAATTTGTTGGTATCTGGGGAAGTGATTTGTTTTTCTGCTAACACATGAACTAGGCAATTGTCATATATCTTATACGGTGTGTTTTGTTCTTCCTATGCAGAGGATACATGGTAATGGGTGATTCTTTCAACACTTCCTTATTCAAACAAACTTTTCAAAGAGTCTTCACCAAAGATATGCAAGGACAATTTAAAATGGGCTTTGGCGGGACATTAGAAATAAAGGTAAGAAACTTGACTTATGTGGGATATGTTTGTCAGGAGATAAATTTGTAAATAATTTTGAAATATTATACTTCAAATCCAATATATGCTTTAAAAATAGTGGTTATTTTATACTGAAACTTTATGTTAGAAATTTGTTCAGCAAAAAGGTCTTTCATTAAATGTACAGTGAGACTTTATTTGATTATTTCTGAATAACTTAGAAAAATAGAATTTTATAGGTAAAATTTCTTTTAACTATGTATATTAGGTTTAATTTTTTTGTGTTTTATCTTTTTAGTGTTAATGTTTTATTTTTGTACTAGATTATTTTAATGGCAGAAATTATCTAACAAGAGGAAAGTATTCTGTGTCATTAGGAGGAAACTTTCATGATTGAAATGACATAAGAAAGTTTTGTGCTTAGTTGTTATTTTACAACACTATCATTCATTTCAGATTTGGATTTTAAAAAGCCGTAGGCTTTGGTGTTAGGCACCTGTGCATTACAAGCACACTGATTTTGAATTTGCATTAAGTACTTCATATTAATCATGTTATTTTATTGGATACTTGCTATGTACCCATCATCGTGCTAGGAAATTACAGAGATGTCAAGGCAAATATAGGGTAGAGGTCTTGTTACAGAGAATCTTAGTCTTGTTAGACAAAACTTACATGTGACAGAGTGAAACAATAATAAATACAAAGGCTGATTAAAAATACAGTATGTTTAAATAAAAATTACAGTAAAAGATACGTTGCAATTAATCTTTCTGAAAATACTGTCCATCACATTGAAAATGTTTATTTCATTCATGCCACTTTCTGAAGCAGGTCCCCCGCCACTCCCTGGTACTAGGAATCTAACTGGTCCTTGCACTTGCAAGGCAGGCAGTGGAGCCCCTGAGCTAAATCCCTGGCCCTTCTGAAGCAGTTCTTACATGAGGTGTGATCAAAACATACTGCTGCCTACTGCCATCCAAAGTAAAGGCAGGCTTGTGAAAACATTACTATATGTCTTCATCCACCTACTTCACTGGCTCTAGCACCATGTGATTTCTGTCTTTTCCCCAAAGTCAAAATGACTGAAAGTAAATGTTTTGAGTCAGTTTTGGACAATAAGTCAGCCATGACAGTGTAACTAAAGACACTCATGAAAGAAGACTTCCAGAATGGCTTCAGAAAGTGGCAAGAATGATGGGACAAGTGTGTTGAAAGTGGAGAGGGGCAGTATTTTGAAGATGATTCATGACAGTATGTCTGTTACTGTAATACATTTTCAAAAGTTATTCACAATATTTTTCAACCATGTCTTTTAATAATAAAAGTTCTGTAAAAGTATAGGGAAGAAAAACAAGGGGTATGTAGGACACAATTTATCCCAGAGGAAAGGCAGAGAGGTGAGAATCAAAATATTTGAATGCCCAGTGAGAGTGCATGGTTTACATTGGAAAATAAGAGAAATAGGGCTAATGTAGTTTGGAGATGAGTATGTCTGCAAAAGTCAGTGTAGGGTTAACAAATAAGCATGTGTTAGATAAGATTCATCTGAAAATGGTATTCAGGGTATGCCAGGAAAAATAATCTCAAATAAGAAAATGAAAAGTAGGCTTCTAAGTATTTTAGATAGACGCTAATGTGATAGCTTCAATTTTGGGGGCAGTAGGAACTGGATAGAGACCAGTTTTGAAGAAAGATTTATCTGTGGGAGGAAAAATAGAAAATGATGGCTCAGGTTTTTCATTAAGGTGTGTGATTTTTGAGTATGGTATGAGTTTGAATTCAGGGTAGGATTTCCAAGTGGAGACCTTCTATGGGCTGATGGAACTAGAAGATTAAAATTAAATTAGGGCTAGATTTTAAATTTTGGAGTTATCAGCATAGAAATAGTCACTGAATAATTACTTTTAAATGTTACTATATTTTCTTGGCTATTGAGTTTCAAATATGGAATAATATCTTATACCCTTAAATACTTAAAGTTGAACATTTGAACTGACCTCTGAAGAAACCAAATATGCTATATTTTTATTTTTCAGACCTCAAGGGAGATAAAAATTTCAGGGGCTATTGGACCTTGTGTGTCTCTCAATTCTAAAGGACCCTGTGTGTCTGAAAATGTAAGTCATTCTTATTCTAGAAAGAAAATACAGTTAATTCTCAGGACAGCACCAACAGAGACCTTCTGTTCACATAATTGTATGGGCTCTTTCATGTGGTTTAGCTTCATTGGTATAATTCTCTTTGTGGTTGATCTTTTCTTACCGGCTCCTAAATGAAAACTTTTGTATTATTCTGAGTCATCTATTTTTTATGCCTACGCTATTCCTTGCCCCAGTATGCCTTAAAACATTTTTATAATTTGGAGATTTGGAGACTTCTGAAAGTCAAACTTCCAAATGGATTTTTGTTACCAGAATGTCCAACAGAATAACCAAATTAGCCATGTTTAAGTTTCAATTCCTTTCTTCCACTTTATCCCATTTGTAGAGGTGGAATGCACTCCAGAAATGTAGAATCATGTCTCTGTAGAGAGGACAGTGGGCACATGACACAAGGTGGATAATCAGCTCCAAAAATGACAAAGTTACAATGTTGATTTTAAGCGGTTTGCATGGTGAAGATCTATATTTAATATTTCTAGGAATAGCTGTGATAATTCTGATCCAGAGGACCTGTTCATATATGCATATATTATATATTAAAGCAATATCTCTTTACACAGATCAAATACTTGGATAGAGAGATAAAGTTAGAAGCTGGGTATGATGGCACACACCTTTAATCCCCGCTACTCAGGAGCCAGGCAGGAGCAATCACAAATCTGAAGCCAGCCCAGGCGACTTAGCAAGACTCTCAAAAAATAAAATAAGGCTGGTGATGTAGTGCAGTAGGAGAGTGCTTCCCTGGGATCAATCCTGTACACCTCCCTTCGCTGTAATAATGTTGTTGTGAACACTGCATTAAATGGCATATGCTTTTTTTGAACCTTAATTGAATTATTCATTTTATTAGTAATAGAATGGCATACGCTTTTAAAGACTATAATATGAAGATGTAGTATCAGTACCTTTTAATTTATTTAACAAAATTTTGTTTTATCTTAAAATCTTGTTAGGAAAAATTGTATAATTTTATTTCATGATATACCATATGACTTTAAGGAATTTTAAGCTTTTCATTGAATTGGTTTGAAATCGGAAAAGTGCTTTCTCTTACTGGAAGGTTTTTTTTTTTTTTTCCTCCTTAATAGCTATTATACTAATAATGAAGTGCTTTGGTTTTGAAACATACACTGTATTTTATCTTACAGGAGATTGGAACAGGTGGCACTTGTCAGTGGAAGATATGTGGACTCAGTCCTACTACAACCCTAGCCATATATTTTGAGGTTGTTAATCAGGTATGACTTCCATTATATAAATATTAAAAAGGTAAACAAGACCATGCATATTTCATTTGAATTTTAGGATTGTTTTTTCTAGTTCTCTGAGGAATGTGTGTTTTGATAGGGATTGCAATAAATCTGTAGATTGCTTTGGGTAATGTGGACTTTCCAGCAATACTGATTGCTCTAATCTGCGAACACATTTGTTTTGTTTTTTTAATCAGTGTTTTATAATTCCCATTGTAGAGATTTGTCATCTCTTTAAACTTACTCATAGGTACTTTGTTTGTAGCTATTGTAAATGGGATTGCCTTCCTGATTTCTATTTTTCTGTTTTTGATGCTTCTAGGGATTGAATCCAAAGGCTTGCTTATGCTGGGCAAGCACTCCATGACTGCGCTACAACCCAACCTTTGGTTCTTATTTTGCATAATTTGCTTTTCATGTATAGCAATGCTACTGATTTTTTGTTTTGTTTTTGTTTTGTTGGACAGGGTCTTCCTATGTAGTTTACTGTGTAGCCCAGGCTGGCCTTGAACTTGTGATAATCATACTGCCTCAGCCTCCTGAGTGCTGGGGTTATAGGCATGCACCGCCTCACCTGGCCTGATTTTTTTGTTTGTTGGATTTTTTCTTTTTTGAGGTGCTGGGAATAGAACACAGGACCTTGCACATGCTAGGCAAGTTATCTATCATTGAGCTACATTCTCAGCTTTTTATGTTGGTTTTGTATCCTACAATATTATTGAATTTCTTTGTCGGTTCTAATAGCTTTTGTTTGGAGTTTTCTATGTAGGGGAAAGATCATGTCATTTGCAAATAGTGACAATGTATTTCTTTCTCTTGCCTGATGCCTCTAGCCAGGACTTCTAGTATTATGTTGAATAAAAGTGGTGAAAATGAGCACCTATCTTATTCCCCATCACAAGAAAGCTTTCAGCTTTTCCCCATTCAGTGTAATGTTAACTGTAGGGTGTTTGTGTATGGCCTTTATTATGTTGAGGTTACTTCTGTATTTAATTGGTGCAGCCCTTTTATCATAAAAGGATGTAGAATTCTATCAAATGCCTTTTCTGCATTCATTGACATATGACTTTGTACTATGTTCTGTTGATGTTTATAATTTTTATTCATTTGCTTATGTGCTTTTTATTTGTATTCATTTGCTTATGCCAATCCATGCGTTTCTGGGAAGGACCCCACTTGGTCCTGTTAAATAATCTTTTTAAAGGGACTGGGCATTTTCGCTCATTGGTGCCGCCACCTGCCTCGCAAGCATAGGTCCCGAGTTTGATCCCTGGAACCCCTACCCAAGTCTTTTTAAGGTGCTGTTGAATTTGGGTTGTTCATATTTTGTTGAGGACTTTTGCATCTGTGTTCATCAGGGATATTGGTTTGTAGTTTTCTGTTTTTTTTTTTTGTCCTTGTTTGGGTTTCATATCAAGGTATAATGTTGGTCTGAATGATTTTGGAAGAATTCCCTCTTCAATTTTTAAAAATAATTTGAGCATACCTATATTACTTATTTAAATATTTGATAGAATTTAACAGTGAAATTGTCTGACCTTGGGTTTTTCTTTGATGAGAGACTTTAAATTTTAGAGTAAGTCTATTCATGCTAGAAAATATGTAGTCCATGATTATAGGACAGTAGCACAATAGAGTTTTGTTTAGTTCTTATTCCTTTGTTTTTACACAGCACAATGCTCCAATTCCTCAAGGGGGACGTGGTGCAGTCCAGTTTGTGACCCAGTATCAGCATTCCAGTGGGCAGAGACGCATCCGAGTGACGACCATTGCCAGGAAGTAAGCTGGGTTTGTCAAAGATTTCATTTACATGTCAGATCTATTGTAGGTCTTGCTACCAAGCTGGGTTCCTATGTTGGGTGACATCTGTGTCTAGAAAGTGAACAGAGACCCAGTTTATTTGCTAGAATATTCATTGATAAGAACAGTGAGAGCACCAGACATGGTGGTGCATGCCTATAATCCCAGCACTCTGGAGGCTGAGGCAGGAGGATCCCCACCAGTTTGAGGCCAGCCTGGACTACATAGCAAGATTGTCTTAAAAAAAAAAAAAATGTATTCCAGCTAGGCACATTGGTGCAGACCTTTAGTTCCAGCTACTTGGAAGGCTGAGGCAGAGGATCACATGAGCTGAGGAGTTCAAGACCAGCCTGGGAAACAGTGAAACCCTGTCTCAAAAACTAATACTCCTAAGACACTGTTGAAAATATTTTATTAGAACTTGAGGGGCTAAGGCAGGAGGATCACAAGTTCAAAACCAGCCTGAGCTGTATAGTGAGTTCAAGGCAGACCTATGTCATAATGAGACCCTGTCTCAACACCAAAAAAAAGGAAAAAAAAAAAAAAAAAAAGAGAAAAATTTACCTCATTCCTTTGAGAAAAAATCAAGTATTTTCCTTTAATATGAAATTCACTACCTGTATATACTTAATGATATAGTGTAGTTTGCTTTTCAAATGATGATATTTTCATTTAGTTCATTTGTCTTTAGCCAGCTTCTGCTTTGTGGACTGGATACTGTTAGGAGAGGTTATGAATTCAAAAGGCTTGAGCATACTTGGTTTGCCATATGATGATGTGGAATAGATCAGTCTTTTCTGCTTCTTATTATTTCACCAAGCTGAGATAATTTATACCTGTCAACCGGAAAACATCTAAACATTATTTTTCAAATGAAAGAAAATTAAAGATAGAGGAAGAAGGGGAAAAGAATTTTAAAGATGCTACCACCTAAATTCCCTTGGGATCATTCTTACATGTAAAAATTAGTTCAGTATTTATTTTCAGGAAGTCCGTAAGTGTTGCCAGTCATGCTCAAAATGAGGTACTTTAGAATTAAGATCTACTGGGGCTGGGGATTTAGCTCAGTGGCATTGTGCCTGCCTTGAAGTGCAAGGTACTGAGTTTGATCCTCTACTAAAAAAAAAAAAAAAAAAAATTAGGATCAACTGAAGTATTACAAAACCGTGTT